CATTAAGAGATAAGTTTAAAGAATTTGGAATAATGACGGTCGCATCACAATACATATACGAAAATTTATTACTTGTAAGAAAAAATATTAATTTGTTTCTTAAAAACAGTGATGTTCACACAATTAATACAAGAAACAAAAATAAACTAACTTTACCTGCTACTAGGCTTCACAAAATTAATAATTCATTTAAAGGTCTTTGTGTTCGCTTATACAATAAAGTCCCAAGCAATATCCAAGAGTTAGCCATAAATAAATTTAAAGATATTATAAAAAAAACACTTATTAAAAAAGCTTATTACAAAGTGTCTGATTATATTACGGACAAAAATGCTTGGGTTTGTACTGTTCCAATCATTCCAACAGGTTTTCTATATTAAATAAATCATAATTGTATTGACGTTGTAACAACATAATGATTTGTAAATGTTGTTACATTAGACTTTTAATGTTGTGGAGTTTTTTTCGCTCGTTTTTCTCCGCAGCTAAAAAATATGTCCATAACGAGTGGTAGGGAAAAAAAATTTTTGGACGATTCAAAAGAGTTGTACTATACATCCAATTTGAATAAAGATATATTGATTTCTGATTTCTTATTACTATGTATATGCGAAAGAATATAGACCTTATTTCTTTGATTCTACGCGCAAATCTGAATGCGTTGTTAGCCAAATAGCAGGTGCGAACCGCGACGAAAAGAGACGGCTATATCACCGAACATGCATTTAAATATCACAAATATTTTCTATTAAATCAGTTTATAGTGTCAGAACAAAATTTGCTACAAATGCGTTTACTTGAAAAACATTGTTTAGATACCTGTCGAAAAAACGACACTTTACAATACTGTACATAAGTATTTTTTTCGCATTTTTTCACGGAGCTCTGCGACATGTTGACTCTTCAACGGTCCGCGCGTTACTGTGAACCAAGAAGTGCTTGAGTGTTGTTCAAGCACTTCTTGATTGGGACACATTTTGAGCACTCGTAGGGTATCAAGGTTATTTAATATCGTTGACAAACAGTGACAAAATAATAATACGAGTATTTATCACAAGTTTTTGACCACCATATAAATTTATGTAGGGTCAACGAACACAACGCGTTACCGAAAACCAGTCAAATGTTGCATATTCGAGTGTATCTTATAATAAAAGAAATAAATCCAAAAAGTCAGTTGGATCAATTTGAGTTTTTGGTGACTTGATATGCGTACAATTTTCACTTACGTCAATAAGTTTTGAATTGAGTAGCTGGCGAACAAAACGGTATAATTACGCATCAAATCAAAGTACTTTTTTTACAGTCCGGAGGTTTCGGGCCCGTTGAATTTGATTGTCAAATAATTTTCAATCAAAACCGCCTAAAACAGTGTTAAAATTACTAAATTTATAAATTAAAAACTATACCAAATGCTCACTGGAGTTATGTCATTCAGTTTTATACAGCTCTTGTAAAATTTAATTTTATGTAATTACTAGCGGCCCACCCTCGCTTCGCTTCGGTGTAGAGCTGAAGTGTAGACTACAGTTTTTGTTCTCAGGCTTGTATTATACACAATGACATTCATCTATGATTCTTCTTATACCTGCATGCAAAGTCTCAGCCCAATCGGTTTAAAATTGACAAAGTTTCATACAAACTTTCATTCCCTATTTTAACCCCTTGGGGGTAGAATTGATCAAAATCCTTGCTTAGCGGATGCCTACGTCATAACATCTACCTGCATGGCAAATTTCAGCCCGATCCGTCCAGTGGTTTGGGCTGTGCGTTGATAGATCGCTATGTCAGTCAGTCACCTTTGAGTTTGATATATATATAGATACCGTTTTGTTTGCCAGCTCCTCAATTATGAATGAGGCACTCTTTTAAAACAGAGTATAAAAATAAGTAATTCGTTAGGTTTTAGACTACAAGGTAGCCCACACGCACAATTACAATGAGTACAAGAGTCGAGTCCTACTGAAGTTTATTTGGTTTTACAAATTGAATCTTATACAACTGCACACACAAATCTATTAATCCAACACTTTTCAACATAATTATAAGGTGTAATCTAAATTAATACGATCACAGAACACAGAAAGAGGTTAGAGGCATGCTAATAGACCCGTTTATACGGGAACCGATGTCGCCGGCTCGCCCCCACTATACTTCCACCTAATAGATAATAGCCAATCAAACGACGCGACATCAAACAATCGAACCAATCAGCGCTCCCTCCCGAGCGCAACGACACAATCAGAACCAAGTTTTGGTCAAGTTATGAGCATTTGCTCACACATAACTGTGGCACGCCGGCCCCGCCCACAAGGCCCTTTTCACCTCCTATGTTCTGTGGAAGCGGTGATATGAAAATAGGGTCAGACAGTCTTGACAGTGTAACAAGGGGCACATGTAACATAAGGAAAATCTCTGCCCTTTTCTTGTTTGTCTATGGTCTGTCTTGTGTGTGTTTTATTAGTTTCATAAGCCGCCATCTTAATCAACTGTCACCTGACGTCAAATGACCGGGTATAATACAGAGATAATTCATACCACAGTGCACCTCGTTACAATTGACGCGGAAGGTAATAAGTCGAATTGAAAAAAAAAAGGTAAATTCAATTTATTTATATTATGTTGAAAAGTGTTATATTAAATTTTTGCTATAGAACATAATATATACAATACGTTTACACAGAGCCGGCAATACCACTAAGTCAACACATATAAATACTAACACAAAAGTCTTAACAAATCAATAATCATAAAAATTAAGGCGATATCAGTACAAATTACATTAAAAGACAAAAACAAAATTGAAAAGAATTCGAAATTTCATGCGAAAAATATAATCAAATACCTCACATTTCTCACAACAAGCATACTGGCCATAAACAAAATGGCGAACTCAATTATGCTATTCATAAATTTAATAAATTACTCCATCTCTCTTGGCTGACGTTATAGATCGCAGCAAACTTCTTGAGAACATCCACAGACAAATAAACTTGCTCAGCAGACTTTTTGTATGTAAAATTGGTACTACGCAGGCTTCCTTGTCTATGGTCTATGCTCAAGTTTGGCGGGGTTAAGAAATACTTTTAGCCTCGTGCAAAGGGCCCGTACCAAAATTGATATGAAGCCTTTTCTCTTGATAATAATAGCGTTACTATCAATTACATTAATATCTAAGATCTTTAGCTAGATATATGAACGAAAAATCTGATGGAAAAAAATGAGTCCAAAAATTATCAAATTTTGTTGAATTGTGTCGTAATAAAAGCTTTTACAGAGAACCGATACAATGCATGGAAATCGATTGCGCTTGCGCAAACATGAATGTATAGTTAACATTTGATAACTACTGTCTACTGATTTAAGCAGGCACTTGGGCTATTTATATAGTTCATATGTATATGTTACTTTATTACATAATAAATGCACTCTCAGTACAAAATTTTATCCATTTTATTATGTATACAACGATAAATCATACAGTACACTTATGTGTAAGCTATAGAGCCGATTCGGGCAAAGATGCTAGAAGCATTTAGAAAATTACTTCTAAATATAAAATAAAGACAACAGTGTATGCTTGTATTTCTCTATACAGAATCTACACTACTATTAAGTTTAAATTCGACATCAGCATAGGCAAAATTAACAAATATCTTGACAAAAAAAGGTTCCTATAAAACCTGGCGCCCAACGTGTAAGCTACGCCTAATAAGATTCCTTCTCACATTGTACCTAATTCTTATCTTTATTTCTACGAAATAAGGCCTATTTTGCAAAATGTGCTATTGAGGTAGGATAGTATAACAATATTACGTGGTTTGACTGCACGGTGTCATTAGTCATTTAATCAAATTTGCGTACGTACGTACCAACAACAAAGTCATGTCTGTCATCCAGCATCTTGTTCATTTGACCATTAGGATCCTTTTTACTTATCAACTGCCTATTTGTGTAACCAATTTTATGACTCTAGCAAGTGCGTAAAGAGATAATTACTTATTATTTTTTGTGCAATACATTGTGTTTTGAGAATAAGAACAAAAGGGCTATGTGATCACTTGAACGAATCGGTCACTCAAATGAAAATCTTAATAATTGTGGGTATAGCCATGACTTGTTGAACGTACGTATGTAGAGAAGATTCTCAATACTGTATGAAGATTGGCCTCTTTGCGATCTTTACTCGTGTGAGCGAAGATATATAGAAGATAGAAACTAAACGTACAGTCATGCTTATCTCACACCAGCGAGACGAAGTTTCGAACTGAAGTGGCTTCAGAACTTGAAAACGCTAAAATTCTTTCGACATTTCAATTAACTACGCTTCTTCAGCTGCTCAAACAAATTTATCGTATTCCATTCCCTATTTTAGCGTGTCAAATTATCACAAGTCAAGCTATTGTCACGGTTATTCCAAAACTGCGTGAAGCTTCGGGTGGCTTTGTCATCATCTTGGTCGCACTGTAATGAGACTTTAGAAGCCACTAGCAAACCCAGCGAACTCCGTTTCGCCACCAGATAGCTTCGTTTTATGTAACATTTCGTTTTGTGATTAAAAGAAAACGATTTTTTTTTAATTTTTCCTGAATTTTCTTTCCTATAAACCTCACGGAGCCCGAGACCTTTCCAACGAATGCAAAACCGTGGAAATCGGTTCGTGCGTTCTGGAGTTATAGCGTCAGGAAGGAAAACCCGACTTATTTTTATATAGTAGATGACAGATGCCGGAACAATCTATCTGAAGCTAGAGGCTTTTAGTCGTGGAGCTTACTCGAGCGCGGTAGAATATATACAGGTTGTTACAAAAATATAAATAAAGCTTGAAGGGTGTTGAAGTACATCATGATCTTCGAACTAGTGACGTGTCTTAAAATGTTCGATATTTTTATTAATCATTAAAAATAACTGTTTTTATGAAAAGTTAAAATTTCATGCAAATATTTTAAGAAAATTAGAGAAGACTCCCTTATATATGTACAACGCCCTTCAAATTTATTTGTATTTTTGTAACACCCTGTATACGTGGGGCCACCTTGCGCACCCTGGTGGGAATATTTAACAATATTCCCACCATACCTAAGCCCTCTACTTAGGGTGAAGCGTCGAAGGCAGCAAAAATTTTTTCAACAAACAGCCATGACGTTTGGTCGCGTCCAAATCATCAGTCTTTTGAATAGGAGCTGTTAAAGGGTTCGTGTAACGTTTGTAACAGAAAAAAAATATCTGTGGCGGTTTACACGGCACGGGGGTGGCCGTACGAATGGGTAGAATACAGGAAAAGCAACTATCAACCGTGTCAGACATTGAGAAGGGATGCTTTGTGTTAATCTGCCGCGCTCGAGTAAATCCTGAAATCCTCGCTTGGGGTTCTCTACCATCTAGTTTCAGATAGAACCAAGCTAATTATTTATTTTTCCGTTTTCACATAAAAAGCAACAAAAACTGTACACTGAATTACTTTATTTGTCACTACACATGCATTTTAGAATGTGTAGTCATTTGTTGAACTTCAAATCTCTCTTTACACAAACAACATTGAAATGTATCGTCTTTGATATTCAAATGTAACGCATCGAGAATGGAAGCGTTGAATGAGGACTTGCAAATTTCACAGCTCTTCTCCGCGTCCAAATGATCCAGGCTCTCGTGGAACTCCTTAGAAGTGTTAGTTTTAAATACTTCATCACAAAACCTGCACTTGTGTTTTTCTCTAGCAATATTATCTTCAGGTCGTATGCTATCGTCTAAGCTCCTGTCCTCTTCCACATTCGGAAATTCGTTATTAATTTTCTCATCCTCTGTAAACGAAGATTGCGCCTCCATCACCTCATCAGAAGCTTCATTCTGAACTGTATCCACTGCATCTTCAACTGTATTAGTGCTGGAACTAGGTTGATTATTGCTCGCCGAGTCAGCATCGCAATTAGCCTCATCCGAAGTGGTGCTAACCAACCTAGATTGAACTTTATCTATAGCGTAGTAAATTTCGATTTTAGGTGTTCTGTTCACGCTATCTTTGGTGTATTCCTCGACGAGGACTTCGTCGAGATTAAAATCTTCTTTATGATGCTTCTTCATATGAGGGTTGAGTGCCATGATTTTGAAGGGTAAACCGCACAATTTGCATTCTATGAACTCCTTGGAATCAATCGGAGTGTGGTGTAGCATGTGGGTATAGCAAGTTTGTTGAGCCATGAAGTAAACGTTGCATTCGCCGCATTTGTAAACCTTGTGCGTATACTTTTTCGGTGGCGTTGATGTATTTCGTTCTGGCAATGAAGTTTGATCGAGTTTAGGTGCTTGTTTAATACTTTCAGGCTGTTTCGTCGTTTGGTCAGGCTCCGGCGAGGCCTGATTTATTTCGGGGACGCTTTGTGACACAACGCTTTCTTTGACTTTCGAAGTAGTCGCCACTTCTTCGTCTTTAACACTGGCTTTAATGCTGACAGAGTTTAGAGGAGGACCGAGTAATCTTGTTGGCGTTTCTTCGGGTGTAACCACTCTATAAACTACGCTGGGATCAGCCTCGTGGTTAAACAGGTGCTTTTTCATAGTCACTCTAGTAAATCTAGCGTTACATGTGGTGCATTCGCGGACATTAAGAGCGTTCTTGGGAGTCAGATGCTCATGGTAAAACCAGCATTTAGTGTTCAAGTAGCAAACATCACACTTGGCACAACGGTACAAAGCATTTTTGTAATTTTTATATTTTCTGTGAAATTCAGAAAATGAGTACAATTTCCTGAATTCGTTTGCACTGGCAGTTTCTACGTTTGTATCTTTATCATCATCTTTATCATCTACTTTGTCTATAGCGTCTTGAACATCACCATCATCACAATTTTCCAGTTTCTGTTTAAGCATTTCGGCTTTAATTTCTCGTTGCTGCTTATTAGCACTGCACCTGCCGGCGCTCTGTTCATTCTCATTTTCAATTGGTATGATACAGAAATCTTTGGGTGACAACTTTAATTGCAAATGATGTGTAGAAATATGTTTCCTAAGGGCTCGACTTGCAAAATTCCATCCGCATTTTGAGCAAGGTTCCGTAGGAAGCTCTACGTGGTCACGGCGGTTATGAGACTCCGCAGCAGCTTTGGACATCATAAACACATCGCAATGGTTACATTTATAAATGTGCTCTTTATGATTAAGACCACAACGGCATTGTTTATCTTCGTGAAGATCGCATTCTTCCTCGTGTTTAGCAAGATTCTCCTTATCCGAGAACAACATTTTACAACCTGAACACCTATAAAGCTTCATTGCCGGAATCGCGCCGCTCTTGATACAGTTATGGCTTTCTATCAAATGACTTGGGAATTTCACTTGACACTTCTTGCATTCGGACAATTTGACCCTCCACTCATCTGGTTTAGTGGGGAAGTTAATTGGCTCAATGACTATGTTATCGCGGGTCATCGGTGTTGATAAGTGTTTCTTGAGGTGCAATGGTTGCCCCATAATATGGAAAACGTAATTACACTGATGACATAAACGCATGTTCTCTTCCCGAACACACGCATGATTATATATTGCAGGACGTTTGGTCGAACAACAATAGCATTTCTGACACTGATAATATTTGTACTTCAATATCTTCACTTTATCATTACTTGGGACAGCTGTAGCTGTAGTTTTGAGGACAGCTTTACTTTTTGGGACAGCTTTAGCTGTTCTGTTTACTACAGTTGTTTTAGTATCATTGGAAGAGTTAACTGCGTACTCAGATCTTAGTTTTGCATTGAACTCTGCCTCGCCGGGATGGTTGAACGCTACGATTCTGAACGAACTCGCGTTGACAGCTTGTTTCCTGTGAATAGCCGAATGACTCACTCGCGCCCTCTCAGTGGCAAAATCGAGACCGCAATCGGAACATTTGTGAGTTTGCTCAGCGTCGCAATCGTTCGATTCGACGTGAACGCAAATGTCGTCGTTGGCAACGATTTTGTTGCACGTCTGACACTTGTACACGGTATATTCTGGGGGCCCGTTTTGTAGCATTGTCATTTTCACTATTCGCGTGACGTAAATGCTGCGTCGCAAAATCTGGGTGACCTGTTCCCCTGGTATCGACGTGAAGATTTTAAACCAATTATTCCTCAATAGTTCGAAGTAATCATATGTCAGGATTGTGAAGGAATCCCTATCTATTGTTTCGTTTTCGTGTAGCTCCACGTGTCTCTTGTAGCATTTGTTCTCAAAATTGAGGTTGCACACTTCGCAGTTCATTATCGTGACGCCGTAACTCTCCATATGGTTGTAATGCTTTTGACAGTGCCCCACCACATTGTCGTACGAATCCGTGGTCACATCGCACGCTTTGCAGTTGTACAGGATATTCCATGTGGGTTTCAGCATTCTGTATTTCATTTTGAGTGTATTCTCTATACTTTTACCCGGCGCTTGGGCATGTGTCATGTTCTTGTGGGGCGCTTGTGTTTGCGTCATGTACTTATGGTGGAGCATATGCAGCCGAAATGCTGATTCAGTGAAAGATCTCTTACACATTTTGCAAGTTTTCAGGGCAGTAAGATTACACTTGGAATGGACATCCAGATATTGGACAGCGCATCGGGTGCACTTCCGAAATTTCGGCAATGGTGGCATGCACGGTTTCAAGCTTCGAATACACACGAATTTGTAGTCTTTAAAATGAACGTTATGTTTCGTGTGCATAAATGTTGTGTGACTTTTCAACTGCATGTTACTGCAGAACGTAAGGCCGCAGATTGGACACGGAGACAAAACCCTTCTAATGCTCTCTTGGCATTTCTTCTCAAGGTGGTGCGATCTCTTATACGGTTTTTTAGCATATGTCTGACACAGTTTACAGTAATACATTGGTATTTCGTTCTTTTTAGCTTTCTGTGTTTTGATAGCGACCGCTGTGGATATTAGCGGCTTCTTTTTCGGAATCGGTTCTGGGAATTCCGTGTTCGGCCTTTTCAAATTGGGCTTCGCTATTTTCTTGTTCGGGAGCTGTGGAATCTTTGCTATTTTCGCGCCGCTCGCATTAGACGTTTGCGTTTGGCCGTGTTGCACGAAATCTTCGATGAGAATAAAGTCCGACTTGATGAATTGCCTCGTCGTGTGTTTCTGTTTGTGAATGATGCTATTGTTTACGGTCAGATCGCAGATGGAGCAGTGATCTACGAACGAAGTGTCAGCGCAACCTAGCTTTGTATGTTTGATGTACAGACGCTCCTCAAAGTAGATGTTGCATTTGGCACAACGGCAGAGAACGCGGGAATATATGTTCGGGTGTACATCATACACTTTGAATTCGCGCGTGTGCCTGTGTTGTAGCTGATGTAGTTCACTATCTATCTGCCTAAAGAGCCGATGGCAATCCGGACATTTCCACACATTAGTCTGTGTAGTATGCGCGTAATTCGGGCGGTACGCGTGCGTGAGGGCGACCAAGCAATTCAAGAAGTACTTCGGACACTTGTCGCATTTGAAAAGAATATTTTTGGGCACGCCTCTTTTGAACGAGAGCCTATAATCGTTATTAATTTCATTTGTATTCACAGCTAAAGAGTTACTCTTCGCTGATTTAGCAGTTTTCTCGAGATTGCGTTGGTACAATTTCCCCAAATGCATGTTACTCGAGACGTTTTTAGTGTAAACGTTTTTCGCTTTGCTGGCTATCAACTTTTTCGTTGGGATCGTGTTTTTCACTTTCTGCACACCGTTGGCAGCTTTCCTAACATATATACTGTTATGGCAAATTCTGATGTGTCTGTTGTGCAAGAGGAGGGTTTTGGCGGGGGCCCCGCAAAATTTACATTTCACATACCCATTATCGGGAACACATACCCTATCAAAAGCTACGCCCGCGCCATGTTTCAGAACACAATGCTTTTCGTATGCTAACTTTTTTTTGAAATAACACGTGCACACTCTGCAAACATTGTACATATTGGTTTTTTGTATTGGAGGATTCACTATTTCACTGCTGACAATCGGTTTTGTTGGTTGCAATTGCGGTTGTGGTTGTGGCTTCTCTTTGATTTTCGCCTGCTTCGCCTGTATGAGATCGTAAAGATGTTGTATTAAGAGGGCCTCGTCTTCGAAATACGTTTGGCAGTGGTTGCAGAACCTGTGCTGGGGTTTAGGAGTTTCTTCCTCTTTGACCTCTTCGACAGCAACGAGGAAAGAATGAACACTCATTTTGTGAGCATCTAAAGCATTTCTCGTTGCGAATAGAATCATGCACTCTTTGCAATAACACGGGCTGGTGTTCAATCTATCCCCCCAGTCTTCCAGTGAAATGAAAAGGGTTTTCAACTTCTTGCTTCGCGGACATGGCTTGCTGCCTAGTATTATTAAGTTTTTCCGTTTGACAGAGCTATTTTGAACTCTATTCTCATAATGTGAAGGCACAGTTTGCTGTTGTGATTCTTCAGGGCAATGTTCTGGGTCATAGTCTTTGGGCTCCTCCTTGATGCTGACGTTTTCTTCGTAATTGACTCCGCTGTATTCGCTGTAGTTATCTACAGACAAAAGGTAACACAATTAATGTAATGCCTACTTTATCCTTGCACTAAGGCCCGAGCACGAATTTTGACAGATCCGTAATCATCATCGTCATCATCAAATTTTGTATGGAAGGAGCCAGTTTGTTCTTACGTCCGGTAGGGGCGTTGCTAAGTTGTCACAGAAACTTTGACGATGCGATAAGATTACGTAACTGTCAAAAGTCGTGCTAGGGTTTCTTAGAGTCCGCAAGTTCCTTCGTTCGAATCGGAACGCCCGTCTGGGAGAGTAATCTACACTTTCCCCAGACCGTAGAGAAATAATATTAACTTTTGGTGGAGTTGTATTCTATCAGCAGGTAAGGTTCTAGACCCCATGAGCACCACAATTTACTAGCTGCGTTCGGTATTTGCATTGCAGAGGAGACGGATTTTTGGTAATATGATCTCAGATTAATCTAAGCAAATTGGTACTACCGAACGGCCCAACCGTCAATGATTGTAATGTAATTATATAATCTGACAGCATAGGTAAAGATTTAACGTTCCACAGGGAAAGCAAGTTGATAAGCCGGACTAGATTTTTTCCAGAATTCCCTTCCTTTACTTACCTTCATAGTCTACAGGTTCAGACTTGATGTTGGCTAGGAACATGTCTGCGATGCGAGGATTATCCATAGGGTCATGTTCCTCTATATCAATATCGTCCGCCATATTGTCTAAGAAAATCCTGGAACACAAAAATGCAAAAATTTGCAAAAGCCCCTTTGGAATACCAACAAACAAGTGATATTGTTTAATTAACTATCAATTGCGATATGTAATTGGTATTATTATAACAAACTTAATTTGAAAGTTTTTCTGTTAAATGTTGTAGGACTTCATATAAGAAAATTTTAGCAATAATTTTAGGGATTTGAGTAAGTCCGCGTATTAGTCTATGGAGATGAGATAGCTCCATCTTACTTATAATGAAATTCGAAATTCTTTCAATTCGACATAGTGTTTCTTGTAATTTGTTATTTCATGGGTATTAGTCATTTTTTATAACAGTAATATTGTACCTATCTAATGCCGCTTCCTATATACTAAATATAATGTTAACTATAAAATTTATTGTAACTATACATTTATATTCTAAATGATGTAATGAAAGGTGACTTCAGACATATCTCTGAAGTAATTTTTCAACTTGACGACTCTGTATATAATTATACAGGGAGAAAAAAACAGTCCTCGCTGAGTTTCTTGCTGGTTCTTCTCAGTACACGGTCTATCGCTGTAGTTTTGCGAACCGATGGCGTAGCTTCTTTCAAAATTTCAAAATTCAAAATTCAAACTCATTTATTCAGTCTAGGCTGTTACAAGCTCTTGTGAAAGTCAAACGCTACGCCATCGGTTCGTAAATCTACGGCGGGAGACCTTGTACTGAGAAGAACCGGCAAGAAACTCAGCAAGGGCTATTTTTTTCTCCCTGTTTTGTTTCATACAGTGTCGTCAATTGAAAGATGACATCAAAAATTGAATACATATGTTGATGTCAACTTCCATCACATTAATATTATTAATTAACAATCTAACAATCTTGATCTTCACAAGTGCTTGTAACAGCCTAGACTGAATAAATGACTTTTCATTTCATAATACACAGGAACGCAAACACAAAAGGCGGCCTTATTGCTAAGGTAGCAATCTCTACCAGGTGACCTTTGGCTAAATGAAACCATACCATAAGAATAGCAACAGTAGGCTAGTGCATTGTAAAATTAAATAAATAAATGTAAATATAATAATAATAATAAATATATCCAACACTCACACCAATTAGCCTAGCCCCAAAGTAAGCACTATAGGCTTGTGTTAAGGGATATGTTAAGGTAGCGAATAGAATACATATACAGTACATATATAAGTATATTTATATAGAAATACATATTAAACATCCATGACTGGATTCGAACCCGGGACCTCTCGAGTTGGCGACACCATGAAACCCGGCGTACAAACCACTTGGCCACGGAGGTTGTCGAAAGGAAATATATATAAGGAAGCTATAAAATACAATACAAAGTAATGAACAGATAAATAGATCAGGTGGAGACCAGCTTGAGGATATTCCTTAATTTTAATGGCAAAGGATTATTAGAGGAGCTGAATGGCGCAGAGGAGCTTGATGGCCCAAGTGGTAAGAGCGTTCAGCTGCCATTGTTGAACTTAAGCAACTTTCGCAGTGGTCGGTGATTGGATGGGTGACCAAAAATTACTATCTCGAGCTACTCCGTGCTTCGGAAGGCACGTTAAGCCGTTGGTCCCGGCTGCATCTGCAGTCTTTAGCACCCACCAATCTGCTCTGGGGCTGTGTTGTGGGTCATGGCCCAACCTCCCTATTCCATCCATAGGGAAGGCCTGTGCCCCAGCATTGGGGACTTTAATGGGCTGATGACGATTAGAGATGTCATTCATAGTTATTTGGCCTAAATACCGAATATTTGGCAAGGCTTTGGGCCTAAGCACCAAATATTAGGCTGCCATATATTCGGCAAGTTATTGCTTGTTACGGATCTAGCTTTACTATTTGTGGCCATTCTACTTAATATAAAGGTAAAACAACTACACTTTTTTATTTATACACTGGAGAACCAACTCAATTCTTGTGAAATTTGATAAACATGTTTATTTTTTTAGAAAATATTTATGGTAAATTGCACAATTATGTTTTGTTAGTAAATTATATGATTTTTATACAATTTTTAAAATTAAATGTAACAATTACTGACATATAATAACGCCGTTATTAGTATCTAATGTGTACATAAGGAGTTTCAGTAATTGGCCTTAAGATAATATCTATATTTTATTGTATTAAATTTCACAAAAAACCACTGTCGAAACTTTGTTAAAGATGAATAAAAAAATAAAGTACAAAATTAGGTCAGTATATTTATACCCAAAATTCAGAAAGACAGAATATTTTTGCAATATTAATATTATGTAGTTATGTTTACAACTACATATTTTTCAGCCCCCCTAGCATAGCACTACGATATGATATAAAGCTCGTTTTTATCACGCTCAACTGTCAAATTACTATGGAGTTTGACAGTTACACATGATAAAAATCATGTTATATTGCAAATTGTGGTGCTCATGCTACGGGGACTGGACTACATGCTTATCACATGAATAAAACAAATTGCACAAAATCTATTTGATGCTTTCAAATTTTTAGTTTAGCATTAGCAAAGAAAGTGGCTGGCAGGAGCTGGATGCGAGTAGCCCAAGATCGATCTGAGTGGCGTGCATTTGGAGAGGCCTACGTCCAGCAGTGGACTATGATAGGCTGTTGATGATGATGATGATGATGATTAGCAAAGAAAAATACAGGAACTTGCTTTAAATGTTAAGGGTAAATAAACAATTAACATGCTCAGGTGATTTATGTTTATTTATTTAGAAAGGGGATATACTTAGAATAAGTAACAAGAGTCATTTATGATAAATTCAATAATTCTTCTGTTTGTCTGTCTGTCTGTTGTTTGACAGCAATGCACTTTAATACCAGCGTTACAGTGTACCCTGTTTAATTAGGTTATGTATGTAAAACATGTCAATATTAATTTACCTTTAGTTGTAACTGGTTGTATAGACACAATAAATTTATATTCTTGTGATAACACAATACAGCAACAAAGCCAATATAAAGAAAAAAATCTCTTCGAAAAAACTCTCACTTCACCATTTTTTAGAAAGATTTGTTTTTAAAAAGTTGTCTTTCTTTCTCTCTCTGAGTGTGTAGGCGAAGAATTTGCCATTCATTTCATACAGCCATGTAGAATACTTTGTAACGCAAATGATTCTGCATGCTTGCATAAAGCCATAAATAATAAAGAACCCAAGAGTAAAATACTTGGAAGCTAATATATAACACAATAAACAGAATCTGAAATCCTTTAATTTAAGACATAATAATAAAACTGTAGCTTCTTCTCGTGTTTGTCTTTTATGTAAGTCCGCGATAATCTTAAAAAGTATGCTGTTTTCATTTATTGTTGTTGTTGATTGTTGATATCGAAAAAAAATGGTTGCCTGTAAAGTCGGTTTTACGGGCGAAGATTTTACGTGACAACGTCTTTTTCTCGGTAGAATATTTATTGATATGAATATAATTAAATTGCACAATAGGAACAAGGAATTGAATGAAAATAAGAATTGCACAAATTTTAACTACCGAAATATATTTTGTTTACTAAAACATTGTACATGTAAACTTAAACTCATCGTAACGTTACCGAGCGTTACACTTTTTCATAAGTGACTCCCAGCCGCAACCTAATTTAAGACGTTGTCACGTCAAAATCAGATATAAAAAAACATGGAGCGGTTTTTAAGGGATTTGTTCTCATAAAAATGATGCCATAAATTACCTAAAAAATAAAGTAAATTAAAATAAAATGAATTGGGTGACGACGACGCACAGTAGTTCCAAAACGTAGTAAGTAGATATATAAGTAGTCCGTGGTTCTCAATTTAAAATTGTGGACTTTTCAAAAAATAATAGACACGTATTTTATCTTTCGTCAATCAACCAAAAAATGGCAAAGGTGAAGCTCATCAAAGTTTGGGAGAAGAGGCTGGAGACGTCATTTTTAAGTAAAAAATATACCAAAATGTGATGTCATGTGAGATTTTAAATGAATATATTGTAATGTATTGATTAAATGAACAAAGCTGATAGACAAAGAAAAAAAAGTTAGCAGTGGTATCAATTCTGGCATGATTCTCTAAACTTAAAACTAAATTTAACATCAGTCTTTCCTTTTCATTCTGTAAAGAGAATGACAAGGATACACTGTTTTCAAATTTAAGTTTAGGTTTAGAAAATCATGCCAGAATCGACACCAGTCATCCCTATTTTAGTATGAAAACATAACATGAATGTAAAGGCTGTATGAATTAAATTTCATTTGCGCATTATACATTTAAGAAACTTACGTTTGCGCGAAATTTTGGCGCCAAACTGTCAAGTGTCAGTCGTCGTGTGAAGGTTGTTTGTTTGTTGATTTAAATTTCAGTTTATAATTTGTTAGGTACCTATTGTTAATTTCTCCAAATGGCGCGCACGAAAGCTTCTGTGGGTGCTAAAAGTAAGTTACTATTTCGTATCAGCATTGATTTTTATGATTACCATCATGAAATTAAATATTATAACCTCATTTTAAGCCTTACTGTTCTGCTAGTTTGAAATGAATTAGAATAATTCTCTCTGGTCGAATATCCACACTAAACTAACGTTAATTGAGTAGCTATAATATCAAATGCTACTCACAAAAGTTCACTTCAACTTTTAGTAAGTCAACAACATTGAAACTTTAATATAATAGTTTATTACTGGTGTCAATTCTGGCACGATTCTCTAAAGCTAAACTTAAATTTGACAAAAGTACATCTTTTTCGTTCTCTATACAGAATGAAAAGGAGAGACTGATGTTAAATTTAGTTTTAAGTTTAGAGAATCACGTCAGAATCGACACCATTTTCAAGCATTTCACTGCTACATTGGGCAATAAAGAGAACTTCTATCATTATTTAGATATTCAATTCTAGCAGTTAACCATGCAAGTAGTAGAATAAATTACTTCAGGCAGCTTACTGAAATAAATTTAAAAACAGATATTTCCAACACTCACTTAGCCTATCCCTAGAATAGAATAGAATAATTCTTTATTGCAAAACTGTTACATTTAGTATTACTACTAGATGTTAGTACACATAATTGAAATAAACAGTTACCCTAATCGGGCATGCAACAGTCATTTTTATAAAAAAAACATTATTCTTTAGATTTAAACATCTAGCAGTTAAATGCTTAAAAAATAAATAAAATCATAAAAACATTATTATTAAAATATTCATTAAGATTATAAAATGCATTATATAAAAGCCATTGCTTCAGGGACCTTACAAACTTATATTCCGGAAGTGACTGCAGATAAGGCGGTGAATTGTTGTATATTCGTATGGCAGACATATAAGTACTTTTTTCAAAAATTGCTGAATTTGACTGAGGTAAATGTAATTTGTCTTCACGTCTCATCGCTATTATATTTGGTATTTATTTATCCCTAATTATGGGATAAATAAATACTAAATATAAAAAGCTGTTTCATACATATCAGTCGATTAGCTGATGCACTTTTGTATGAAACAGCAGTTTTTTTTCGCAATTTCAGTGTTGGTCCCATCGTTGGTGTTTTAAAATTAACCTTGTATAAGTATATTTATAAAGAAATATATATTAAACATCCATGACTACAAAGTACAAATGTTCGTATTCATCACACAAACATCTGCCCCCACCGGGATTTGAACCTGGGACCTCTCGAGTCAGCGACACCATGAAACCCAGCGTACGAATCACACGGCCACAGTGGTCGTCATTCGAATTATTCAGTCTGAAACTTAGTACAGCATATGCTATGAGAATATAAACTGCTTATGATAAGGATATTATTGGAATATGTTACTTTTTACAGTATCATCAGGGAAGAGCAGCAAAGCCAGATGCAGTGTGGCTCCTCCAGCTTCAAGTAATGCTGTCTCTGGAGGTAAATTCTATAAATTATCTTATATATAAAATTCTCGTGTCACAATGTTAGTTACCATACTCCCCCGGAACGGCCTGACCGATTTTCATGAAATTTTATATGCATATTCCGTGGGTCTGAGAATCAGCTACTATCTATTTTTCATATCCTTAAGTGATAATGGTTGTCCACCTGTAACATACTGTTCAGAAACCCACAATGCGCCTTTGCGCCAGAATTCAAACTGTTGGGTATTGTAACGTAGTGTTCTTATATGGGTTAGGAGGAATGTTATCCCAGGAAAATGATGGAAAAAATACTTTTTTTTGGACAGTATTTATTTTTTTATTATGTGGTATTAAAAATACATACAACCCTTAATTTTCACTCTTCTACCACCTGCCCCTATTTATATGGCAGTATGAAGTTCGCTGGGTCAGCTAGTAAATCTATAAAAGTCAAGACAAAAGTCAAAAAGTCTTTAATCTAATCCGATGCACAATGCAACTCTTTTGAATCGTCCATATACATACATATATCATCATCATCATATTATCTCCACTGCTGGGGCACAGGCCACCCCTATGGATGGTATAGGGAGATTGGGCCATGACCCACCATGCGGGCCCAGTGCTGATTGGCGGGTGCTAACGACTGCAGATGCAGCCGGCTAAAAGTGCATTCTGAAGCATGGAGGAACTCGAGATAGATGTTTTTTGGTCACCCATCCAATGACCCTGTATAAGTCTGCAAAAGTTGCTTAACTTCAACCAGCCAAACGTGCTAATCACCCGCTCCATGAAGCGCCATCGAGCTCTCGTTATACTAATATTATAAAGTAAGTTATATAAAGTTTAAATCTAAAGAAAAGTTTACTAGAAAAAAAAATCCACGCGGACCAGGCAGCGGATGGGACTCGAACCCGCATCCTTCGCTATCCGGGCGAATGCACTGACCATTGCTATTTCTTCTTTCAAATGTTTAATACTTGAAAAAGTATTCATTTGACATTGTGGGTTACCTACAATGCGAAGAGATGGCGCTGCCTTGCAGCTTAAGGCTAGGAAAATTTCGACGCGGCTAATAGGGCCGTGGTAGCATAATGGTCAGTGCATTCGCCCGGATAGCGAAGGATGCGGGTTCGAGTCCCGTCCGCTGCCTGGTCCGCGTGGATTTTTTTCTAGTAAACTTTTCTTTAGATTTAAACATCTAGCAGTTAAATGCTTAAAAAAAAAATCATAATTATATAAAGTTTTTATATTTTCTCCTTTTTATGTTTGTCACTCGATCTCACAAAAACTACTTAACAGATTTGGATGATATTTCGTATGCATATAGTTCATGGCTAGAAATGAGACATATCATGATACTTATCCTGGAACAAATGTTAGTTGCCTGAGGGATTTTAAAAAAATTAAAGTTAACATGGACATAGTCATGTATAGTAATTTATATTTACGAGGAGAGCTCATACCAAAAGTGTAATTATGAAATGAAACAGATAATTTCTATAAGACTCATACAAGTACTTAAGTATATAAAACAACCATGAAATGTATTTTTATATTTTTTTTATATAGCCAGGTAGGCAAATGACTCTACCCCACCTGATGTTAAGTGGTGATAAAGTCCAAACGCGAAGATAGCTGGTACAGCAGTTATAAACTGCCACACCAACCATCCTTACCTTGCAGACCTGAAAAAAATGCTTCGTCACACCTCTCTTAAAGGACCCCAAATTGTAGGAAGGAGGGAACACGTGCGCGGGCAAAGAATTCCACTTGCGAATAGTACGACAAAGAAATGAGTCATCAAATATCTTTGTTCGTGTAGGAATAGTGGCCACAGTAAGTCGGTGGCAACGTAGGCCAGCGCGCGTGGTCCTCTGAAGAAAAGGTGATGGAGGGATAAAGAATAACTCCTCAGAACACTCGCCGTAGTATAGTCGGTAGAATGCGCTTAATGATGCCACATCCCGACCGACGTAATTGTAGAGACTCGAGTTTCTTAGTTCCTTCTTCATCGCCAATGATGCCTGTCAATGTTCATCATCAGCCTATTAATATCCCCACTGCTGGGGCACAGGCCTTCCCTATGGATGGAATAGGGAGATTGGGCCATGAGCCACCACGCGGGCCCAGTGCGGATTGGTGGGTGCTAACGACTGCAGATGCAGCCGGGACCAACGGCTTAACGTGTTTCCGAAGCACGGAGGAGCTCGAGATAGTAAATTTTTGGTCACCCATCCAATGACCCTGTCTTATACAGGGTTGTCGTCTGCGCAAGTTGCTTAACTTCAAAACTGCAGCCAAACGCGCCATCGAGCTCTTGATGTACTAATATTATAAAGTAAGTTAAATAAACTTTTTATATTTTTTTCTTTTTATGTTTGTCACTCGATCTCACAAAAACTACTTAACGGATTTGGATGAAATTTTATATGCTAGTTTATGGCTAGAAATGAGATATATATCATGATACTTATCCTGGAACAAATGTTAGTTGCCTGAGGGATTTTAAAAAAAAAATGTGTGCGTGTACTAGTGTACACACGTAAGAAGTGAAACTTCTTTATGGCCTTATTTTTTTCGAAAAATGATCTACATGCAACTTTCCAGAAATATATATATAGGCGTGCGCTTAGATTTTTCAAAAACTCACCCACTAAAGGGGTATAACTACACCTTACCTTACCTTACCTTACCTTACCTTACCTTACCTTACCTTACCTTACCTTACCTTACCTTACCTTACCTTACCTTACCTTGTGTGAAACACGAATATTTGCTGTCGATACTTTTTTTTTAAAGTTGACAGAAGAAGCAATTGTTCGGATGAGGTAAATAGTGCTGTTTTAAAAAAAAGATGGCGCGTAACCAAAAAACGTGACGCGTAACCGAATAAAAATGTGACGGTAAATTTTTTTCCAACGCCGATAAAGAAGTTTCACTTCAAAAATGTATAGTAATTTATATTTACGAGGAGAGCTCATACCAAAAGTGTAATTATGAAATGCAACAGATAATTTCTATAAGACTCATACAAGAACCGAAGTATATTAAACAACCAAGAAATGTAAATGTTGTATATGAAATATTTTATTTTATATTGTTCCCTTAGGTAGCTCAGACCGTTCTGCGAAAGGTGGCTCGGGTGGTGGCAACTCAGTGTGTCCCCGGGAAACACCAAAATGGCAGAAACCCATCACGAATTTCTTCATTTGCAAAGACAAATCTGTCGAGTCTGAAGAAGAGAGCAATGACAAGGTAGAAGGTATGGTTCATTATAATTCACAGTTATTTTTCCTAATACAGTATTGAGAGGGTTATTTAGTCAATTTGATATTTCTTAATTTAATTGAATAATTATTTATTCATACATATTGTCCTCCTTTAGGAGGATAAGTTTTGTGTGTGCGTGTTTTTTAAGTTCTGTATGTCAATACAATGTTATTTGGACACTACCCATATATAGGGTATTTGACAAGTTTTAGAAAATGATCTCACGTTATTGACTAATGTTTATGGAGTCCATAAAAAGTGGATATTCATCATTCTGTTGCGTATTTCAGTAAAAATAACCAAATCAAAATCCTCATTTTCAATTTGCCGCGAAAACGTTTTTCTGGACAATATGGCGTCTTACTAGTGTGTGACGTCACACGACTGTTATTAAAACGTCAAACGATACAATGTAATGTTAATTTAACCGGAAATTTACTTGCGTGTGACGTCATTTTGGGCTCCGCCAATCCCAAGCGTTTTGGCTCACCTGACAATAGATAAGAAAACTATTATCTTTTTCGTGGATTTTTAGTAAAATTATAAATATTTTTGTTGTAGCAATAGTAAAAACCCCTGCCTATATTCATTCTAAACACAGATGCTAACAATTGGCACTTTATTTTTAATACTGTCAAATACCCTATTATATAGGAATAAGATAAGATTACTTACGCCGTCTTTTGTTCATGTCACTCAAATGCCATTTGTCATTCTATGAACAGAGATAAAACATGGAGTAACTAATCCAAGCTTACTCTACCGTTTATTAATATAGAGGTATATGAGTTGAAAAGTAACATGGAAATATTTAGTTTTAATCCCTAATTGTAAATGTATGTTGCTGTTTTTATAATACAGTTGAAACCGGATATAATGACATTGAAGGGGCTATATAACTTCGGACGTTATGTCCGATAGTTGTTTTAAGCAATATACAAAACCAGTCATATTATTGTCATAATATATGTATGTAGTATGGTTATAGACCAATGGTTCCCAACCTGTGGTCCGTGGACCACCAGTGGTCCGCAGAAGCGGGCGCGCCCGCTAAAAATGTTATTATTTCTTTTTATTTAATTTCATATTAGATTTTTAATTAAAGTTTCAGTTTGATTATTACAGTTTATTTTTATTACAATAAAATTTAGTTATTTAGTGACAAAATAGTGGTCCGTGCCAAAAAAAATATCTAAAAAGTGGTCCCTGACCAATAAAACATTGGGAACCCCTGTTATAGACAATGAATATAAGATTGTTTTCAAATAAAATATCGAAATAAGAAGTAATAACACTGCCGGATTTACTGACTGAGGAGCTCGATGGCGCAGGTGGCTAGCGCGTTCGGCTGCGATCGTTGAAGTTAAGCAACTTTCGCAGTGGTCGGTCATTGGATGGGTGACCAAAAATTTACTATCTCGAGCTCCTCCCTGCTTCGGAAGGCACGTTAAGCCGTTGGTCCCGGCTGCATTTGCAGTCGTTAGCACCCACCAATCCGCACTGGGCCCGCGTGGTGGGTCATGGCCCAATCTCCCTATTCCATCCATAGGGAAGGCCTGTGCCCCAGCAGTGGGGACATTAATAGGCTGATGATGATGATGAACACTGCCGGATTTAGGGGAGGGCAAACGGGGCGAAAGCCCCGGGGCCTCCACAAACGGGGGGCCCCCACAATAGAGACTTCGGAAAAAAAATCTTTCAATTTCCAACTAGTAAACACAAGTAAACATCTTATCCTTTGATTTTTTTTTGGTCTTTTACCTTTACCCAGCGCCGGATTTAAGACAGAGCAGGTGGGGCTGTGGCCCAGGGGCCCCCACAACAGAGGTCACCAAACCCTTTGGGGTTGCTTAACGTAAGAGGTCGGGCCTAGATTAAGGGGCCTCCACTCCTTTGTTGCCCCAGGGCCCCAACACTTCTAAATCCGGCCCTGAGTAATAAGTTTACTATGAAAAAATTTAAGCATCTACAGTATATTTTGTTTTACTGGAACCAGTAAAACGCTTAGACGTTATAACCGATGAATATCGATATGAACCTCATCAATATTCATTGGTTATAAGTAGTTTTAAGCGGTATTTCGCTATTATAGGCGGTTTATTTACTTAAGGACTAGCTGACCCAGCGAACTTCGTACCGCCATAAAAATAAGGGTTGGTGGTAGAGGGTTGAAAATTCAGGGTTATACGTATTTACTAATGCTGTATCATAAAAAAATTAAAAAAAAATCTTAAATTGAAAAAAAAAATTAGGGGTGGATTATTCTTAACATTTAGGGGGACGAAAAATAGATTACATCCGATTCTCAGACCTACTGAATAATATATAAAATTCTCGTGTCGCGGTGTTTGTGGTTAAACTGATCCGAAACGGCTTTCCCGATTCTCATGAAATTTTGTGTGCATATTGGGTAGGTCTGAGAATCGGACAACATCCTTTTTTCATCCCCCTAAATGTTAAGGGTAATCCACCTCTAAATTTTTTTTGCAATTTTAGATTTTTTTTTTATTGAAGTTATACTTCTTTAGGCGCGTTATGAAAAAATGATGAGAGTGAAATTTCAAGATGCGCGCGCATCACTGTAACACAAAAAAATACTTTTGTGTTTACCGCACATTAAAAAAATCTACCAACAAAATAGAAATAGAATCTCTATTTAGTGGGTGCTAACGACTGCATTGTGAAGGCCTATCAAAAGTATTTATTAATCTGGAACAACGGAACCAAAGCGCGATTCAGGAGACTACAGCGCCATCTCTTGACCATTGGTGTAGTAGAACCAAAAACCACATCTTTATTTTTTGTAATAAAGTAACAGTTATAGGTATTCATATTTATAATATTTATCCACATGTTTCTAGTTTGTATATTCGGAATACGTGTTTGAGTTTCATACAAGTGCAAATCACATATGTTCTAATAAATTATATTTAGTAGCGATTTTAATTGAATATTTTGATTATTTATTTATTTTTTCAAATTAAAACTGAACTTTATTGACTGTGTCCTTTTCCAGACTTTTTATTAATTTATTGTAATTAATTATTTGCATGCAATTAAAAACTAATTTTAAACGATGCCAAAGAAGGATAACTTCTCACGCGCCTACATAAGTACACGCACCCATTTTTTTTTTATGATACAGCATTAGTAAATACATATAACCCTTTTCTACCCTTTTTCTATACAGAATTTTCAACCCTTTACAATCAATCCCTATTTTTTTATGGTGGTACAAAGTTCTCTGGGACAGCTAGTAACTTTATGATATGAATTTCTCTCATTATCCAGCTGGCAGTTCAAAGTCTAAACCCAAAAGGAATGTGATAGAATCAGATGAAGAGAGCGAACAAGTTGTACCGACTAACAATGTTCTTGATGAAACGTTGGAATTGGAACCGTTGACCGGTGAGGACAGCCATAAGATCGAGGAGTACTACAGTAAGAATTCTAAAGGGAAGGGGAAAGGTAATGAGAATCCGTAATGATATTGAAATGAAATGAAATGAAATGTCATTTATTCAGTGTAGGCTGTTACAAGCACTTGTGAAGGTCAAGAAGCTACGCCATCGGTTCGCAAAACTACGGCGGGAGACCTTGTACTGAGAAGAACCGGCAAGAAACTCAGCAAGGGCTGTTTTTTTCTCCCTGTATTGTTATATACAGTGTCGTCAAGTTGAAAAATTACTTCAGAAATACGTCTGAAGTCACTTTCCATTACATCATCTAGAATATAAATATATAGTTACAATTAATTTTATAGTTAACATTTTAAGTAGTATATAGGAAGCGGCATTAGATAGGTACAATATTACTGTTATGAAAAATGACTAATACCCATTTAATATCAAATTATAAGAAACACTATGTCCATGCATTACGATCATTAAGATAATCATCAACTTTATAATAGCCCTTATTCATAAGAGTATTTTTGATTTGAGATTTAAATTTAGTCAGTGGAAGCTCAATCAGATCTTGGGGAACTTTGTTAAACAATGCAATACTACAACCCAGAAATGAACCTCTTGATTTTTGGAGTCTGAAACATGGAACGGCAAGCTTGTTCTTAAATCTCGTGTTAAAGTTATGGGTTATGGGTATTAATTGAGAATGCAGATTTATAGAGCTATACTGCGATTCAACTAAGAATAGGACCGACTGGGCGCCATATTGTGATGTCATAGCTGTCAATTCAAACCAAATAGGTAGAGTGAGCAAAAGAAGTTTGTATTTAAAAAAACTTTTTAATAACATTTATTTAAAATCCACCGATTTTTAATAATATTTATTTATTAAGACTGTTAGAAAAAACATTAATCAGAATCTAGCTCTTCTATTCCCCTCATCTCTGCGTTACCGCCGGAGTAGTTATGAATAATCATGCACTATTGAAATGAAATGAAATGTCATTTATTCAGTCTAGGCTGTTACAAGCACTTGTGAAGGTCAAGAAGCTACGCCATCTATTACTAAGTCACATACAAACATGCATCCTTTATGTAAACGAAAGTACTTAATTAAATTCTTAGTTATTACTATAAAAAAAATAACTGTTTTTATAAAAAGTTAAAACTTCATGCAAATATTTTAAGAAAATTAGAGAAGACTCCTTATATGATGTACTTCAACGCCCTTCAAGCTTTATTTGTATTTTTGTAACACCCTGTAGATGCACCGATTTATTTATTTCTTGACGATTTGATGAATAAATCGGTGCATCTATACCGTTGAAACTTGATTTATTTAAAAAGAATATATTTTAAAGGGAAAAAGACAAAGGACAAAGAGAACATGGACTGCAATGTGGAGAAAAGAAAGTCGAAGAGAGATCTAGAAGATGACACTTTGAGTGAAGAATCGACACATGTTAGCAAGAAAATCAAAGTTTAAACATAATGGTGGACTGTTGGAACTATTATTTAGTATTAATGATCATAATTATACTGTTTAAAAAAAAATGTGCTGGCCACTGTTGTCGAATGCAAAAGTGAGTTCTATTTCTTGGGAGACAATGGTGTCGATTCTGGCATGATTCTCTAAACCTAAATTTAATTTTGACAATAGTGTATCCTTGTCAGTATCTACACAGAATGAAAAGGAGAGACTGATGTTAAAGGAGACCCGGCACTTTTCATAGAAAAAATGCTAAACTTGTATACAGTTGAATTTGGTCTCAAAATAAAGCCATAATTATTTGCTAAATAAAACTACTTTTGCCTTATTTTTAGTGAATCGTGGAAAGAAGTTATATAATGATTAATATTTATTGATATAGAAACCCTTTTGATGACAAACCTACGTATTTGACATTGACAGCTAGCTGCTGATGACAAATATTGCCAGACTACGTTACCCAATTATGAAACACAGATAAAAAAATTAAAAAAGTATACAACTTTGGCACAAAATGCCGGGTGTCCTTTAGCTTTAAGTTTAGAGAATCATGCCAGAATTGATACCAATGTTTGAAATCCCTCGGACAATCTCTTAAATTAGAAAGGTATCGATGCAATGCTGTAAAATACAAAACTGAGTTCTATTTCTTCGACAGTAATGTTTAAATTTCAATCTTACTTTAATACGAGAATATAATTTATTATTAACTAGAGGTCGCCCGCGACTTCGTCTGCGTTAACTTAGTTTCTTGAAAATCCCTCTGGAAACTAACATTTTTCGGGATAAAAGTTGCCTATGTGTGAATCTAGGGTGTCAGCTAACTCCATACACTGCCGGATTTAGGGGAGGGCAACCGGGGCGAAAGCCCCGGGGCCTCCACAAACGGGGGGCCCCCACAATAGAGTAAACATCTTTTCGGTTCCGTTTGTTAAATCTAAGATTTAATTTCAGATAATTCTTGTTTCCGTTTATATTTATGTGTTTGTTCAATACTAAGGGAATGTACTTGGTTCACAATAAATTATTTATTGAAAAACTCGACTGAAAAAAAAATGTTTACTTTATTTGGAAAATAATTTGGGGTGAGGGGGGCTCCGCTCCTCTGTTGCCCCGAGGCCTCTGGACCTCTAAATCCGGCCCTGACTCCATACCAAATTTTATTAAAATCGCTCGAGCCGTTTAGACGTGAAGAAGTAACAAACATACACACTCACATACTCACACTCTCAAAAACTTTCGCCTTTATAATATTAGTGTGATAGTTTAATTAGGAGGTACTAATACTTAACTGAAAGGAATTAGCGATTCACCAAGTACCATCTTTGTTACTGAGATATATGCATTTAAATGTAGACATTTTAAACCTGAATTACTTAATTCTTTCTAGCCTTTCTTAAACTGCAAGGCAGCGCCATCTCTTCGCAATATAGATAAACCACAATGTCAAAAGAATACCTTTACAAGTATTGAACATTTGAAAGAAGAAATAGCAATTATAGTTATAATTATTTTGTTTCATAAGCACGTAACTGCTCGATGTTTAAATCTAAAGAAAATATTACTAGAGAAAATTCCACGCGGACCAGGCAGCAGACGGGACTCGAACCCGCACCCTTCGCTATCACTGACCATTATGCTACCGCGGCCTTGATGGCCGCGTCGAATTCTTTCTAGCCTTAGCGGTAGCATAATGGTCAGTGCATTAGCCTGAATAGTTACATAGTTAAAATATACGAGTATAGGGAAAGGATGCAAATTTGGAATACTACTTTTAAAAAAAAATGTTAAACATGGATGAAGAGATAAATAAGTGAACACTGCATTTAATGTTAGAAGAACTTATATTTTATTCAAGTTAAAGTAAATAACAACCTTGGATTGTCACAAGTAGTGATCCTACTTTGTATTGTATTGTGGTTTAATTAAGAAATCACAGATTGGCGTAGTTTAACTAAAGTGAATATAATTTGGAATAGGATATTTCCAAATTACAATCACCTAATGGTTAATCTGAAATACCTATTTATTCAACAACTGACATACTAGACTTAAGATTTGTACAAATATAAACACATAAATATAAGTCACACTCAAGATGCAAGCCGATTTATTACTTGGAAAATTTTCTCGTCAGTACTTTCACTCCGATGAAGTTTGTCACGGAATTGTCAATATGGCTGCTTCTAAGCCACCTCAATTTTGTTTCCTTCCTAACACCTAGGGTGTGTTCCGAAATGTGCATCAGTATACTGGCCAGTGGTAATGACGTCACGAATCCGACGCCATATTGTACTGGTATGCTACCATATTTTTACTGGGAAAACGAATATGACGTATGACCGAGCGTGCGTGAGATGCATTCGAATTTTATTTCTTTTTTATTTAAAGAACAATAATGGCATCCGAACAAAAAGAATCCCTTTTATTTGATGAGGTGAATAAAAAATCTTCTTGATTCGCACTATTTTTAATATTTCGTCGATTTATGACGTCAGTGCACTGGCCAATATATTTCGGAACAATTCACCAGTATAGCGTCGTTCCATGACGTCATTAGCACTGGCCAGTATACTGGTATATATTACGGAATATACCCATAGACTACGTAAAACTGGTATACGTCAAAACATGGCGCTTTAGTATATTTGTATATTGCAGTATTCCAAATTAGAATCCTTTCCTCTATATCTATTTGAATTAATTCATCTATTTACCTACATGCTCAAACTTTATTTAAATACCTATTTAGTTTAGGATTCTACAAAATGATTATATTTTTTCTTTTTTCACATAATATAAACATTGCAGAGATATATTGATTTAAAAAGTCGCGTTTTGGTACAATTTTCACTTAAAAGTGACGTCACGAGCCCCTACTCCCAAACTTTGACGAGCTAGAACTTTGTCATTTTTGGTTGATTGCCCAAAGAAAAAATACGTGTCCATTATTTTTTGATCATCTAACTGACGGACTAAATAGAATTTCGTTTACTGTACCCCGTCATCACCCCTTTAAAGATGCAAAGATTTAAATCGTTGTATAAATGTATGAAAATCAATTCTTTAGCGATAAAAATCAATTGGGAATCAGTCGAAAACGTTTGTATGGAAAAATCAATGCCTACCTCCCTTCTTAAAGTTATGGTGTGTATGATATGAATCTCTCAAGTCTCAACTTGTATTACTATAGTTATAAGTGAATGAATTGTTACGTTATTTTTGTTACCTTTAAGAGTTTGTGAATATGAGAAATGAACAATAAATATAATTAATTTGACGAATAATTGTTTTATTATATGTGCATTTATATCGTTTCAACCTTATTGTACCCTAATTAAATACATCCAACAAATATTAATAAACGTTTATTGACTTTAAACAAAATACAATATTTCTAAATTAATAAGACAAAAATTGGTGACAAGAGGCATATTGGAGCTTAAATATTGTTAAAGGTGACTTCTGTTGCCAGTGGTAGGATAACCTGTAAGTATTACAGGCAACACGGTCCCCTCTATGTACATAAATACTGTGGCCGATTTACATTAGTTGTATGATTAACCTATATAGATATATAAACTAGTTATAAAAATTACAGAAACCGTCAAATGCAACACTCACACCAATTAGCCTAGCCCCAAAGTAAGCACTGTAAAGCTTGTGTTACGGGATACTAGGGTAACGGATAGAATACGTATAAAAGTATATTTATATAGAAATACTTAATACACATTCCTGACTGGAGTAACGTCTGTCTACACCGGGATTCGAACCCGGGACCTCTCGAGTAGGCGACACATTGGAACCCGGCAAACAAAGCACTCTGCCACGTAGGTCGTCTGTTCCCGGATTGGCAAATCTGTAATCGCCATATAAAAGCTGTGTCGCCATCACCCTATGTCATGCATGATTGCTGGAAGACATGCCTTCTATATGGATGGAATAGGGAGACTGGCCGATAACATAACCTACCACGCGGTCCCAGTGCGGATTAATGGGTGCTAACGACTAAATTGTTAGTGATTTAATTTTTATGAATTCTATTTTTATTTTCCATTAAAAATGCAAATTGGATAGCAATCCAATATAATTATTTTCGAAGCTTAGATTAAAACAAAAAGGGAAGATACGGCACGCTCATACTAGCATCAAATAAAATATGATCCGACTCAACTACATAAGCAACTCTCACACACGCACACGTCTGTAAATAACATTCAATCGAGCGAGCGAGACAGAACTTTGAAGCTTTGACACAGAGAAGTGTTGCCGAAGCATTTGTTATTTGATTTTGAACTATTTGTGTTCTTTATAAAAGCATCGAAGGCATTGTTTTCGGCAATCTTTATAACACAGATTATACGCAATGTTGTTATATTGAGTGCACATGCAGCGTGTTTGAATGTCCAATTGTGACTACAGCGAATATGTGATCGTGGACCACAATTTAAGCGGATCACTTTTGAGCCGCGAGTGCCGTATCTTCTCTTTTCGTATCGTATCTTCAAATGGACTTACCAATACCTAAATTTAGCAAACGGGAAGTTAAGTCAGCAATCTTTAAATTTAAAGTGCATAAACCCCCGGGTATGACCTAATAACCGCTAAAGTACTACGCGAGCTTCCGGCTATTGGCCTTGTATTCCTAGCATAGTTGTATATTGCTATATTGTTAAAAAGTTTCTGTCCCCCTCAATGGAAAGTAGCTGAGATTATTCTCATTCATAAACAGGGCAAACCTCCTGAAAGAGTAACATCATATCGACCAATCAGTCTTTTACCTATACCTTCAAAGATTCTGGAGGTGCTATTCTTGAAAAGACTTAAACCTTATATAAGCGAAGCCAAACTTATTCCTGACTATCAATTTGGTTTCCCAGCATCGCATGGAACTATTGAGCAGGTTCATCGCCTTGTACACAAATCAATAAGTACCTACTACATTTGAAAATAAACAGTTTTGCACCGCTGCATTCTTGGACATTTCACAGCCGTTCACCTCTTCTGTGAGGTAGTCAACACTACGATAAAGTTCTCATCGAAAAAGCCAACTCGATATATTTCGTGCCAAACACTCCAAGAAACATTAGAATGCGGCACACCGACATTCTAATGTACAAAAAAAAGATATAATATCACTGAAGACTAGGCTGTATGGGCATTGTTCCCTTTGCCTTCCTATAAAAGGAAAAATATTTAAAAAAAATAAAAAAAAGGGA